TTTTTTTTGCTTGTGGTTGACGTAATCGTGCAATGACGTGCGGGGGTCACCAAGAGCTAGATCTTATGGCGATCACTCACTCCATTCTACAAAACAATTAATTTATGCATTAAACCTTGATTAAACTCGTGTTTTCTCCTGCCTCACCTTCTGATGTTCTTTCAATTGGAAATTTGCCCAACGGCATGGAGAGAACCAAACTGGCATCTGTGGTGTCGGCCCGTCGATCAACTTATCAAGAAGGTTTTCGTTCATTTTGCTCCATCCTCGATTGAAATACACCTTTGTAGAGCTCAAAAAAGCAAAGGAAAAGCGCTACAGACTACTCGACTGCAAAGAAATTGACTTCAAAGTCTTAAAAGCCTTGATGACAATATAGTCATTTGGAAGATGAAGAATCGATCAGCCACAGTATATAGTCTACGGATCCACAGCTACTTTGACAATGTTATGACTAAATAGACAGGGTAGACTATAACAGCGGATTCAAGTATCTGATGGAGTGTTTATCGTGTTTCACAGTGTTGCATTTAGGATATCTAAGTCTAAATTACAGAGGTTGTAAGGCCTTAGGGATGATGCTCCAGTTTCCTTCTATCAGAAGTCTTGGCAAAGTGCCTTACCTTAATTGAAAATGCTTTTAAATGATAACTTTGAACACAGGATAAATCATGAAAAACTGACATTGTCATGTCTGCATGGTATTTATGTAAAGCACACTCACAAACCCGCACATTAATTATAAATAGCAGACTTACATGCAATTTAATTAGAAATTAAAGAAGATCGTATAGCATTACCTCATGAAGCAGCAAAAAAAAAGAAAAAAAAAAAAGGAATATATATTTGAGTGGTTTGGTTTTTTTTAACAGGAAATTGCACACTTAACGCAATAGTGTCAGGCTCAAGCTGGACATCGTAATGCAGGTGCTACAAATTGAGACGCATCTGAGAGCTTCCGCGTTAATTCATTGCTCAAGTAGCCAGATGGCGTGCTTCACACTTACTGGAGGTAGTCTTGAGAACAGATAATTTCACAATTTCCTAGATATTGCTGTGCTATGAATCCTTCCTGAGAACTCATTAATTGCATTTTCGTTACGGAAACAGACATCACGATTGAACTAAACCTTGTTTGCATTGGTCCATAGCTGGGTATCTTATTAGCTGCTTGAAGATTAGCAAAGCTTACATGTATTTCAGGATCCGGTTTAACATTTTTCTACGTTTTCTTTCAATGGATATGAAGCTAAACAAAAGCTTTCAAAAATAATCTTGTGTTTTATACATTCAATAAAATTTCGGATTCTGATTGGGTCATTGCGAGTTCATATTGACGGGTACGGTGGAAAACAAAAAGAAGTATAGGATGCAATACGAAACTTGATATGGCCGTGTAATCCTTTGAGGCAGATTTCTTCTTCATTCCAAAATGTACGCATTTCATTGGTCTGTTTCTCGGCAGACTGTGAACTAATTGTTTGAATATTATCAGTAAGATGCAATCTAGTCAAGTGTATACACAGCAAAATTAGCATTTGTCTTCAGTATTCAAAGCAAAATTTTCTTTTGTTTCATTATATAAAAAAAAAAGCATACATCAAAGTGATTCGCAGTTCGCCGTTTCAGGATTACTTTTGAGAACTTCCAAAATATCACTCACACACTGAAGCCGCGAATTGCACTCACGTTCGTGCAATTTTCTCGTCTTTTTTAATCTCAACTCACGGAATATCGCCAGGAAAGTGGTCAAGGAGGCCAAAGGTCGAGTTGGCTAAACTCGGACGTGATGTTCCACAAGACTTAAATGTATAATTGCATTATTGCTCAACAAATAATTCCTATTTTAAGGAAACTAATTTGTCGGGTTTTGCAATTGGTAACTACAAAGCTAATACAACAAAGCAAACTACAACCAAGAAACATCCAGGCGTTTAATTGTTGTTCTTAGACTTACATGTACCAAATAAAGTGACAAGTTTATGACAATAAGTGCAAGCGTGTTGATGACTGAAAACTTAAAGAGAAACAAAGCTTTAATCATACCTATATCGGGCCCACCCTAGTGAGGTTTCTAGAAGTTTTGAGGGGCGCAATATTGTTTTTCGAAACGAGCAATTTTCTTTTATAAAAAATTGAAAAGAAAATTGAATACATTAGCATTTTAGCTATGCTGGGGTTTTGGCTTTAAACGTGATCACAATTGTCCTCTTTTAATGTATTTGGAAACTGATCCAAGTCCTTTTCAGAACGTATCTGCAATCAAAAAGTGACGAATTGTAAACTCAAAATAAGCAACGACTTTTGCGATGTTGCACGACTTTTCCTCCTGGCAAACTGCATAAATGTACATCGGACGGGTGAAAGAGAATAACAGCATCCTGACCGTATAAGGCCATCGCGAATGTGGCTGTTCTGTTCCGTAAGGACAAATCCTTGCCCAGTCTTCGCTTCCTTTTCATTCAAGTTCTAAAACGCTCGATACAGTGAAGCGGTTACTAGAGACATGAAAATGCACGTTTTGCTCACAATGATGCCATGCTTTTCTTCCGAATAACAATTCTCTCAGTGCACGACGGAAGTCTTTCTTGGCCAGTGTGCACAGGATTGGGTTTAGTATCGGAGGAACAAAGCCGGCAAATACTAGAAGGCGCTGCGCCCAAACTGACATAGAAAGGTCCTCTGAAGGTTCCATGTAGTCATGAAGCACGGTCAGGAAAAACGGCAACCAAAAGCCAGCGAAAATCACTATTGTGATCAACAAAACACTGCGTCCTCGCCACTCATGAAGTAATGATCGACCGGGTTGCTGAAGATTCTTGCTCAACCGACGATCACGTGTGTTACGTTTAAATGAAATGAAAAATATGCGTCCATAAATATAGCACATTAACAACAAAGGAACTGCAAAGAACAGCACGCTGCAAGCAAGACTGTATCTCTTGTTGTGATCTTCTGTTACATCTTCATATCCAGTAACGGCAATGCCATGAAATATGTACCAAGACAACTGAACAAGGGAAGATGCCAGAGAAAGCAGCCACACAAAAATAATGGCAACGATCGCTCGCCGTTTCGTTACAAGGGAATGATGCTTCATGCAATGAACTATAAAAATATAACGATCACAGGCGACGAGCAGAACATGGCAGACTGAAGAGATGGCGGTGAATCGAATGAAAATGGTCGAAGACACGCAAACTTTCATGACATCTTTCACCGAACAGATGACAAGAAGAGGAATTCCCACCAGACCTGCCATGAGATCTGAAAGCGCCAGTGAAGTAAGAAACATATTGGTGGGTGTTCTCAGCGATTTCTTTTTGTGGATCAAGAAGATTACGAGGCTATTAACTGCCACAATTATCAAGGACATGAGGGCAAAAAGTACAACCAATGGCGAAGGAAGAATTGTGTCTCTGTAGTAAGTTTCAGTTTCATTACTTGAAATATTTTCAACACAGCTTGTGTTAGATGTTCTGAGATGAGACATGTTAATCATAAGAACATTTGCAAGATCGAAATCGTCCATTCAATATTCTTGTTGTCCAGGTAGGCGTGCGAGCAGTTCAGCTGTAAGGAAACAAAACGGAATTCAAACTATATCAATGGTGTTACATGAGCCAGTACCACTTTCTAAAGAGCAACAGTTAAATGAAAAACGCTTTTAAATGCTCAATCTGGAACCGGAATATATTACGATAAGAACTGATAGATTGAAAATGATGCTAAGCATACAAAACACACTTACTGTAAATACTCAAGCTCTTTAATTAGCGTAGTCGGGATTTAATTTTTTTTTTTTTTTTTTT